ACCACCTACTACCATTTGTTTAGACATTCTTTATATAACGGAGGAGACGTAGCTATAAGATCAACTAAGCCTGAACTTAACCTTCTGTAGAAAAGAGACCACCTTCAAACCTTGCCCCTTTACTTCGTTCCTTCAGCGTTTTTGCTTTCCTTCCTTGGTCTCTTTTTTCTTTCGTTACCCCCTATTTTTTAGGAAATGAAACCTCTTTTATTTAAACATATTTTCCCTTTGTTTTACTTCTTTTATTTCAACAAATCTTTAAAAAGTTTCACACTCTTACTGAATAATAATCGCTTTGTTTTAAACAACACATGTGATACAGTATGGTATTCTCAGCATGGAATAGTTCAACAGTTTCCCTGAGTAATAAAGGTATGAAGGTGTAACAGGCAGCTGTTGTTATATTAGCGTCTGGTCTGGACTTGGGAATGAACACATAATCTAGTGTAATTTCGATAGAGGTAGCAGAAATTGGCCAACACAAAACTTTCCAATTTCATCTAGTTACCGTATGTTTAAGCGTTTATAAATCCATTTCCATCTGGTGTAACGTTTTTTCTTTGTTTTTGTTCTTAGATTGAGTGAGAAACAAGACTTTGAAGACATTTTAAAAATGTGCAAGAGTATACGACACATTTTGAAGGCATATTTAAAAGATTAAAACAAACTGAAAGGAGAGAATTCGATGAAATAAATTCGGTGGGAACATTTTAGTAACCCATACCGCTTTGAACAGTTCCACATTTTAAGTATTTGATAACGAATGACGTATTCACTCTATTTCTGCTCTTCTGGTTAATTCTCGTCATTCTTTGCACTAATCACTTACTCAACACAATACAACTTTAAACCTTACCAATAATTTCCTTTCCACATGCTGTATACATTCATTGTGTCTAATTGCCAAACAGTTGGCACAGTTTACACTCAGTTTATCAGCGCAATTGACATATCATATATGTACAATTTGCGCTATCGTTCACACATACACATACGCAATATAACTGTAAGTCTAATTTCATATCCATTCTTAAATGGATTCGTTTCAGATTTGACCCTTCGATCTTACAACAGTAGAACCTGACGAGAAGCTATTGAAAAGAATATTCTTGGTTCATGGTGAACGTTTAAATCTACCTGATTGGATGAAAAAGTTGATGTATTCAAATACTTTACACTACATCATAAAACTGTAGCTAAATAACATCTGGAACAATGGAGTTGATTTCTATTTCAGAGAAAAATAAAACACTAAAATTTAAATGGTTGTAAATAAACTTACCGAACCATTTTTTGTCAGAACTAAGAACGCTGATAAATAGATTCACTTAAGCGTTGAGTTTATCTTAATGAACTTTGTTGTGGTGCTGCTTTTTGGGTTACTTCTGTGCTCAGAACAAGTTTATTTGATGTCCATCACAAGGAATCACCTATTTGGTTCCAACATAATGATACCTTATGATAGAGTGATATCGTAACCTAGTAATTTTTTTATAGTTTGATAGGCTGTTTTGCTGTATCATGTGCTCGTCAGGTTGTAAGAAGCACCAGATTCTTCACTGCTGCCAACATGCATTACTGACGACCACCAGCAAGCAAGAAACCTAGGTCAAGCTTAGCTTCCTGCCCGCTGACTCTAACGATCTAATCACCGAAACTCGGTGCACGGGAAGCATTATATGACTGCGCTTAGCAGTCATGTTGCAAAACTCGATCAGTGCCAAGTACCAAGGACTAAATGCTTGCATTGGTTACCTACCGGTAACCAACTCTTCTCGAACAATCCATCATGAGTTTCAACAGGTATCGTCTTTCTCTCATGCATATTATTGTTCGTTTGCTTAGTAGCGTACAATTTGATTGTTACATACATGTCAGTTATGAATGGGCAGTACAGTTTCAATCTACAAACTAAAAATCCCAGTTTGTGTCAACAGAAGCTCCATGTTAATTTACTTGGTTGGTGCTAGCAGAGGAATCCATGATGTGCGTTGTGTCTTATTTACAAGTCGTCAGCTGGATGTACCTACACTCCTCTGAGTGATATTCCCACCAAGACTAGAACACAGTACTCATCACCTCAAACGACAAGTCCTTGTCCACCAGGCCACTGAGGCACGACAGTCTCCTCTTGTACAACGGATACTAGTTATTACTATTTGTTTATATGCTTGTAGTTCTCCGTTTTTATAACGGATCGAATTTCTCGACCTACTATGAGAATGCCTCCATACTGCGTGAATATTTATCATGGTAATTTACTTGGTTGTTGGAGGTCGAACAGTTTGATAAATTGTAACAAAGGGGAATTTCAAAGGTATCAACAAATAGTAAGAAGCCACATGTATTACAAACAGTATTACAGTCATTAACTTCTATTATTACTTGTCCTCGCAGGACCAGATGGGATCCCGCCAGAAGCACTGAGAGCAGACGCAGAGACAACAGCCGACATACTCACACCACTATTGCAGAAGGTGTGGAAGGAAGAGAAGGTACCTGGCCATTGATTGGAAGAGGGGTTACCTTGTCAAACTGCCGAGGAAGGGAGACCTCAGTGTTTCAGGAACTGGCGCGGAATCACTCTCCTGTCCACCCACAGCAAGCAAAATATTATGACGCATCATCCTGGAGAGACTAAACGATGCACTGGATTCAAAACTACGACCGGAACAGGCTGGTTAGCTTCAGGAAGTACAAATCATATGTGGACCGAATTGCAACGCTTCACATCATCATAGAACAGAGTACAGAATGGCAGTCAACTCTCTACCTCAACTTCATCGACTTTGAGAAGGGCTTTGACAGCGTCGACCGAGAGGTAATTTCGAAACTGCTTCAATACTACGGAATACCACAAACCTTTATCAATCTCATTCAACAACTATATGAAGACGCCACATGCTAGCCAAGTAATTCACAATGGAAAGCTAGCTCAGTGACGCCTTTGAAGTGAAGACAGGGGACAGGAGTGAGACAAGGCTGTCTACTATCCCCCATGATATTCCTGATTGTGATCAACTGGACTGGATCATGCAGCAAACAGTGGGGAGCTGTGAGAAGAGGAGGATACGCCGACTGGACTGTGGGAAAGAACCTAGAAGATCTGGATTTCGCCAACGATGACTTGTGCCTGATGTCACATAAACTTAAAGATGTACAGGCGAAAACTAACAAGTTGTCAGAAGAGGCAGGGCAGCGAAGACGGGACTTCAAGTGAATATAGAGAAGACAGAGGTGATGAAGATACCGCACCAACAACTCCTACAACAACAACAACAAACTCCAATCACCATGAACAGGAGAAACTTAAAGGAAGTAACCTTCTCCACTTATCTAGGAAGCACTGTTTCAACTACAGGTGATACAGGCACAGACGAGGAAGTCAGAGTCAGCCAGGATCGGAAAGACAGCAAGACAGGCGTTCATTAGCCTGAAACCAGTGTGGAGATCTTCTGCACTCCACTCAGCATAAAGCGTGAACAACATCCGGATTTTCAACAGCAATTCAGTCAAGTCAGTGCTTCTGTATGGTTGAGAGACTTGGCGCGTCACGAAAGGGATTTCCAGTAAACTACAGACATTCATCAACAACTGCTTACGCTGGCTCGCTACTGAAGATCAGATGGCCAGAATAATGAGAATAAGCAACGAGGAGCTCTGGGAACGAACCAACCAAGAAGCTATCGCTCAACAAATATGCAGTGGAAGGAAGTGGAGATGGATTGGGTTGAGCATACACTGAGAAGGCCGACTGGGGACATCACGCGTCAGGTTAGTTGCTCGAGTGGAATCCCCATGGGAAGCGACGAGTTGGGTGTCCCAGCTGAGAGTGACATGGAGGAGATCGTGCGAGGAGGAAATGAGAGCTTGTGGGCTGTCGTGGAGCCATGTTCAAAAGATCTCAGAGAACAGAATTCACTGGAGACGTGCTACTGAAGCCCTATATTCCATTAGGAACCCAAGGGACTAATAATAATAATAATATTCACTTGTCATCAATCGATTTTCACAAATAGTATTTCCCATCTCTTTTTGTTAATTATTCGTTATCCACTGATTGCGATTTCCCTACAATATGGTTTGTTAATTATCCCACTAATTTAGAATTTAATAACCGTAAATGGTCCACTTTGTAAGTATGATTAGATTAGGCAGGTTTAAAAATAACTATTTGTTTTATTAGGGCTGACAACAGACAACTGAACAATTTCATATTCCTTTTTAAATCTCTTACCTTTTACACATGAACAAGACTTTTCATAGATTCATTTATTGCCTCACATCCGAACTTTTGAATTCCTCGATTTCATGCTTTTTCTTTTTCTTCTCTGTGTTCACTTACCTATTTACCTAATTACTTACCTGGTCATCCTTTCACAGGTGTATTCACTAGCTGTCTTGCTTCCTTTCCTTTATTCCTATCCACACCGTTGATCAAATTCTATGAAATGAATAAAGATTCTTCTAGGAGACTATTTTTATCCTCATCTCAAAACTCTTTTATACCCTAGTTATCAATTAGTTGACTTTTCTTCTTTCTTTCTGTGTATCTCTCTCGATTCAACATTCCCAAAGTTCTTAGTCGACAGAGTGGTAAAGCTAGAATTATGGAAAGTGGACAAAAAGTATACAAACAGTAGCCATTCATGATACAAATGACTAAGATGATTACTTAAGAAATGGAAAGGAGCATAAGTTAGCAATAGTCATAAAAGAGAAATGTATTTGTGATAAATGCAACAATTAGAAATTTTTCAATATTCAGGAATATTTAATAAAATTCTGATTGGTTGATTCGCAATATATATATATATATATATATATATATATATATATATATATATATATATATATATATTCAGAAACTCACCAGTTATTTCTATTCATTCACTTTTCGACTCGATTAATAATCTCTACAATATAATAGTAATAATAACAATAATAATTCATTGACCTATTCTAATCATACCAGTTAGTAAAAATTGATACTTTCTCAGACAACAAGGATATTTACTTTTACTGAAAAATGAAGGAAGATTTCAAGTGTATTCATTGTCCCCGAAAAGTATGGAAATGGTGAGTTGAACACTATTCTTTTGTAAACTTCCCCTAAAAAGATTAATTCCCCAACTTATATGAAGTTTAATGATGTATATTAAGGATAAATTTCACTACTATACCTTTGCAATTTCACAGAAAATGATAAGTAACTCTAATCAATGCAACAGGTATAGCGACCCTTTGAAAAACTTGGATGTATATTAGTATTTTTTGAAGTCATTGATTAGCAGACACATGATACATTTCTAAATGAAACATGAATCTCTAACACGTTCATGAGTGAGCACTGCTAAGAAGTCCGATACGAGGACGAAAGTGATATCCAGTGTTCTCACACTTTTTATGATACTCCAACTAACATAACTCCCTGATGAATGACACTTTGAAATCAAAAGATTTTTACAAATCTCAAAAATGAGACATAGATTCGTCACGAATGACTCATATCAAAGTTTCTACATCAGAAATTCAGCTACAATCAGCTTGTGCTGATTAGTAATAGTATTACTATTATTATCATTTGTCCCTTGGATTCCTAGTGGAACATAGAGCTTCAGTAGCACCTCACCATTTCACTCTCTTCTATACAATATTCTTCTTTAACCTGGATTCACCACTGCCCAGAAATTTTCATTTCTTACTCACAACATCTCCTTCACATCACAATCGCCTCAGACACCCAACTCGTCCTCTCCCGCCTCACTTCCACTCGACGACATGAACTGAACTCACCTAGCCTGACCTGATGCTTCACGTACCCGATCGGTCTTCTCAGTCCATGTCCAATCAAATTCACCTCCACTTTCTGCTTCTGCATATTTGTCGGGCAATGGGTTCTCGGTTGGTTGGTTTGCTGTCAGTCAGTCAGTCAGTCAGCCAGCCAGCCAGCCACAGTTCCTCCTCGCTTATTCTTAATATTCTAGCCATCTATCTGATCTTCAGTACTGAGCGTAGGCAGCTGTTGATGCATGTGTGTGGTTTGTTGGAAATGGTTTTCGTAATGCGACAAGTCTCTCAACCATCACATAGAAGCACTGACTCACTTGACTGAATTAGTGTTAGGAATCCGAATGTTGTTCACGCTACACGCTTCATGCTAAGTGAAGTAGAGTAGAGTGGAGTGGATCTGCACACTGATTAGTTCAGATTAATGAAGGTCTGTCATGCTGTCTTTCTGTTTCTTTCTATGACATCCTTATCTGTGCCTGTGGAGCCTGTAGTTGGAACGCTGCTGTCAAGGTAAGTATGGATGAAAGAGACTACTTGCTTTCGATTTCTCCCATTGATGGTGATTAGCGCTTGTTGTTGTTGGTTGGGTATCGTCATCACCTCTGTCTTCTCTACGTTCACCCAAAGGAAGTCTCATCTTCTCTGCTTCTTCTGTCAACTTGATAGTTTTTGCATGTAGGTCTTCGATTTTGTGAGACAAGATATAAGAGATAAGTCACCATTGGAGAAATCCAAATCTTCTTCTGGGGTCTTTTCATCGGTCCAGCCAGTGTATGCCCATCTTCCTGCTCCTCACAGTTTGTTGCATGATCCAATTTTTGTCCACCACAACCAGTGTGGAATTCTCAGCATGTAATTTTTTAACAATGTCACTCCAAGAAAAATATTTTAAGACGAAATGGTTATCCCATCTGAATGATGTCGATAATAACCGTATTCAGGTTTATAATGTTGAAATAGTCAGCTAGTTCTGGATGGGCATCCAGTTCATAATGAAGAATCAACAGAAATTCAGAGGTAATTTTGGTGTTGACGGTTCATTCAGAGAGTACACAAAACTGAAATTCATGCTAATTATCTGAGGAATAGAAATATGGTGTAATTTTACTCACTGAAAAGTCCACTTCCATAAAACGTGACATTTTTTCCCTCTGTTTTGTTACCAACTCATGAAATGGTGAGTTGAACACATTTTAAAAATATGCAAGAGTACATGATACGTTCAGAGGACATATTTAGTTAATTAAAACAAATTGAATGAAAAAAAATTGATATTTATATTTGGTGGAATATAGTTTTGGTAGCTTAAGATTAAAGCAGACCACCGTATATACGATTGGGACGAATTACTTATGAGAAAAATTATAAGTGAAAAATGGAAACAGGAAATGGTTGAGCAAACGTTAGACATGTTTAACTAGACTTTAGAAGTTATCATTGAAGCTGAAATGCTACTAAATCAAATGATTTTTCCCATTTGACTTGTTTGTTCACCATGGACGTTTGTGAGGATTCATCGATTTCAGGCTGGCATTCATTATAGACTGATATCAGTTAGAGGAACATTGGAAACCTGAGAGCAATGGACAGATGTTTTGCCTTAGTATGGGACTCCTCAGCAGTGCGCACCCCACCCATCAGCGATCGAACCCATGGCCTACAGACGTCGTGGCGAGTACGTTACCATTGAACTACTGGGTCGGAATCCATTGGTGCATATTTTCTAATTGTGTCAGTTCGCGATATAGCGTGACCTCTATTCAATCCTGTCGTTGAGTAACTGTCTTCATGTTCGACTTAGTTGGCCTCACCTGTCACGACTTCTCACTGGAACTTCGGGAATCATCTCTCTAAGCTAGTCATCAATGAGTAAGAGAATAATTCAGTCTCAAGGTTTATGGGTAGTTATTAATTTCATGGTGGTATTCACTACGGACAAACATTAGTTAAAGAGGTCATGGGTTCGTACTGCTGAGGAGTTGCATACTAAGATGAAGAAGCTGTTCAGAGCTTTCAGATTTTCAGCCCGTGATGAGTACTAACTTGAAATCAATAAATTTCCATAAACCTTGAAAGTGAACAACTTACTATCCAGCGCTTATTAGTAGCATGGCCCAGAATAAAATTTCCTGAAGTTCCAATGAGAAGCCGTGACCGGTGAGACAAACAAAGTTGGATGTGAGAACAAATATGTCATGGCGTTACGGAAAAGAAAATTTCTGTCTTGGAATAACCTTTGATGGACAACAAAGTCCAACAGGAAATGAATGAGAAACTAAATTGTAAATATAGAAATGAATTTCAGTTTGATAAAAGAAATAGTTTTAACGTTTGGCAACATATCTGCCTGTGGAATTGGATAACGTGGGTTCGAATCCATCTGTGAGGAAACGTCAGTTTCTTCAGGGCTGAAGATGCTGTTTACAAACGAGTAAAGAAAAGAAATGGAAATCAATTTTTGAAGCTGACTACTGACCCCTTTTTAAACAGTCACTGTACGGAAATCAAAAAACAACTCAACTGAAACCTTCAGAAGGTTCTAAGACTCACCTCTTAGTGAAACTCCTCAACCATGAGTTGTATCTTAATTGTTGAGAAAATTTTTTTTGGCAGAAATGATACTTTGTGTCATTTTACGAATTTAGAGCATCAACTAAAAAGTCTTCACCCTTAATGTAGACTTCATAATTTTTATTTATTCATTTAACGGAATTAGGCTGTTTAACAACATCTCCTGGTTAACAAATTCACTAGTTAGTAGCCGATCTGTTTCACTTGCCTAGGCAGCATCATTTCAACTACAGGCTCCACAGGCACAGATAAGGATGTCATAGAAAGGAACAGAAAGACAGCATGACAGACCCTCATTATTCTGAACTAATCAGTGTGGAGATCTACTCCACTCCACTCCACTCCACTCCACTCCACTCCACTCAGCATGAAGCGTGTAGCGTGAACAACATTCGGATTCCTAACACTAATTCAGTCAAGTGAGTCAGTGCTTCTATGTGATGGTTGAGAGACTTGTCGCATTACGAAAACCATTTCCAACAAACCACACACATGCATCAACAGCTGCCTACGCTCAGTACTGAAGATCAGATAGATGGCTAGAATATTAAGAATAAGCGAGGAGGAACTGTGGCTGGCTGGCTGGCTGACTGACTGACTGACTGACAGCAAACCAACCAACCGAGAACCCATTGCCCGACAAATATGCAGAAGCAGAAAGTGGAGGTGAATTTGATTGGACATGGACTGAGAAGACCGATCGGGTACGTGAAGCATCAGGTCAGGCTAGGTGAGTTCAGTTCATGTCGTCGAGTGGAAGTGAGGCGGGAGAGGACGAGTTGGGTGTCTGAGGCGATTGTGATGTGAAGGAGATGTTGTGAGTAAGAAATGAAAATTTCTGGGCAGTGGTGAATCCAGGTTAAAGAAGAATATTGTATAGAAGAGAGTGAAATGGTGAGGTGCTACTGAAGCTCTATGTTCCACTAGGAATCCAAGGGACAAATAAATAATTATAATAATACGCTGTTCAACACTTGTTGACAGATGGACATCCCTGTATTGTTACCAGTATCAAACAAACAGACGTTAAAACAGAAATCCTTTTTATATATTCCTGGTTATATACAGATGAGTAGAGACTTGAACAATAAACACCATATTCGTACTCATTGATAATCGCTTCATTCCTCGATAAATAGGAAAAACAGTAAGATATTTGAAGGTGTTTTGCAACGTCAAAATATGTGCAAAAATGTAATGGTTTATTTATTTTTATTTATAATGACTGACTATTTCTAGACCATTCTTTAAAGATTTATCTTATGGATTCTGCTCCTTTCATGAATCTCTAATATTTACGTGTAAGTTCATGTGGTGTTTCTTGTAACTTTGAAGTACTACTATCATTTGTGAAAGGTATTAGGAATTAAGAGCTTATCACAATCTGAACAATTTTATCGTATAATCTAAAAATCTTGATTTATCAGTGATGATAAAACGACAGACAAACGTCAACAGAATCTGATCAATTTGGAAAAAAAGATTCATATACACACTTACAAAAGAAAGTACATTGAAACGACTGGATAAAGTACTGACTGAGTATATTTCATAGAATTTGTCTCTAAATGGAAGTAAGATTCTCACAAGTGCAATTAGAAGATACCTTGTCAAGACAGGAGATCAAGTAAACACCTCTAATGCTTTTGAAATGAAAAGATGTAAGGAAAAGTGGGTTGTTATGCAACACATTTAACCGAACCTTTGCATACGGA